TGATGAAGCTCGAGCCTTTGCAGGTAAACCACCAAGCGCTGTGGTAAATATATAATCTGTAAAATAGTTTCTGTAAAATGTTTAAAATGCATCTGTATTCTCTTCGCACTTTAGAAAAGAACAGTATCTCTTTCATTGAGACATCAGCGTTGGACTCCACTAATGTAGAAGAAGCCTTCAAGAACATTTTAACAGGTAGGAAAAACAAGACTCAGTGCTGTATGTGATTCACTATTACAAACTGTATTATGAGCTCTTTTGACATATTATTATACTATGACATCTATCAACTGTATTTTAACACGTATTACTTTTACTATGACAAACTATTCTGTAACAGTTTATAGGGCATACACTAAGACAGATACTTTGCCTGTTTTGAATGACTCACACTACTTTGTCTTGTACTTTGACACACAATGACCGAAATCTTTTATGATTTTCTTGACTTGCTTATGACATTTTTTACAACATTTGTTATGGCATCTATGACTTTTTTTTAAAACAATTTTTACATATTTTATTTTACAAGAGAAACTTGACTATTTTTGACATTTAAATGACATATACCTATCTGGCTTTTTTTTAAGACAAACTATGTCGGTAATGAAATTAATATTAGATTTTTTTATTGGCATTTACTGTATAGCTTATACAATTTAGGCCTTTTTACTGACATACTACAGGATGACTATTTTTGCAACATATTATAATACAGCTGCTTGTGCTTACCATTTCACATTTTCCCGTTTTGATATGTAGCTACATGGTTTTATGTAGGGAGACTCCAGTGCAGCAGCTACATAAACGAAACTTTCAACCATTCATTCAAATCACTGTTTGTAATTTCCCCTCTGCAGAAATCTACCGCATCGTGTCACAGAAGCAGATAGCAGACAGATCTGCACACGACGAGTCTCCGGGCAACAACGTCGTGGACATCAGCGTCCCCCCCACCACTGATGGGCAGAAGGGCAACAAACTGCAGTGCTGCCAGAGCCTGTGACACTAAAGCCCTGAAACTCTTCCTCCACATCACATCACCTGTGCACTTTTTGTTCGCTCTGCTTACGGCCAACGCCCTCTTTACTCTGTCCGCTTCTTTCTACCTGTCATTCTGTTTTATATTCTACTTTTGAACTCACTTGTGCGCTTCTTTTTTGCCATGAATGAAAACCTCCAGAAGCCTTTGTCCATGTGAAGGAGGCAGTCCTCTCTGCCCTGGTGAAGCCTGTGAAGTTGTTTGAACTGAACCTCTGACGGCGTGGTTGTGATATACATTTCAATGGTTACCACTAGATGGTGCTGTGTAAATAATCTACAGGCAGTTACTCCACCCTGGTGAGAGCAGTATTATGCAGCATGGCTCCTCTAACATCAGATAAGTTATCATGCCAAAAATATCCTCATTATGTATTTATTGAAGAATATTTGGCTTAAGTTGTCATTGGTTTACTTTACATTTAAGAACTGTATACATTTACAATAAAATACTTGACAAAAGTGAACCGTTGAGTGTCTTTGTTCTTACTGAAAATAAGTTTTTTTTTTATAAGTTGTTAGAATTTAAATGCTTTTACTCTTAGTCTGTACCCGATTATAGTTTTGAGGTGCATTTTTACTTCACAATATTTTCGAGGGCATTGGTACTGTACACTCTATACGTTTATGACAGCTTTAGTTTCTAGTTTTCAGAAAATATTTCAAATTAAGGTAAACAATTTAAACATAAATATTGAATGAAAATGTAGCTGACAATTCTTTGTTAACGCAGCTTTAAAGCAATAACCTTTTTCCTAATGACGTCATTATATCATGTTATCCTGCTACTTTTAATTAAGTAAATTATCGAAGTACTACTTTTACTTTATAAAGTAACTAGTAAGAGATCCAGAACGGTTCAGGAAAAAATATTCTCTCTCTTTAGTCCTGATCCATTTATATAAAAACCTGTCTGAAAATGAGCTAATCAGATTTTGGCCATTTTGTGATGTCACAATGTTTTTTTGGGTAATGCAACTATTAGTCAATAACCAACCAAGGTAACACCCCTCACCTTATCACCTGGATCTCCTCCTAGAGCACCGTTGTGTTTCTTCAAACCATATATCTCACAGAGGTGCTTGGGGAGGGGCAGTTAATTTGCATTTAAAGCTACAGACACAGAATCAGCAGCTTTGAAACAGGGCTGAAACAGGGGATTATGGGATGCTACAATGCATGATCTGTTTGGTATGTCGAGCCAAACACTTCAGAGACATGTTTTGTATATATCTGAGACCTATAATAATAATAGGGGACCTTTAAATCGAATAAAAATCATTACATTCTGAATATCAGGGTTCCCATGATCTAACGTATTATTTGAATCACCATTCACACCCACATTCAAACATTTATAGTGTTTTTCCTTCCTGGAGAACGGAGACTTCTCAGCAGCATATGGAACATTTTGAACGAGTGTTTTTCTAACTAAGCTGCTTATATTCTCCTCAGCGGTGTGGATGTGATGAGGAGATACTAGGCTTGTTTGAGACAAGCAAGACCTGCGCAGACCTGCGCAGTTGCGTTAGTCATTTTGTCCGACTTGCTCTGGAGGCCCGCCCACATGAGACTTTGAAATTTCGCGGGACAAAGACGCCCGCAGCCTTGAGAGCGAGGCGAGTTGGCGCAGTTGCTCTCCACGGGCTGCGGAAGCGAAATGCTTGATGGGAAACGGCTCGCTGGTATCTCGAGCTGAGCGCTCATTGGTGGTTTTTACCACGTGCTGCTGATGAAACTCTCCAATTGGCTCGGCAAAAGTTTGTTGTTGTTTTGTGTCAGTTTTACGTCGCCACATCCATTCCCATTTTTCATCATTGTTCCACAATGTTTATCATCATGAAATTAATATCTATATATTTGATACTATACTGCTTACCGTTTTCATACTTTATATATCTTAGCATATTCATACACACTGTTCATACTGCTCACAGGCTGATATCTAGTGTATTCATACCCCTCACTGTTTATTCATCATTCAATTCATTCTATATGTTATTCTGTAGATTGTGTACATTACTTTTCACTTTACTGCTTGTTGCACCTGGTTAGAAGCTAAACTGTATTTCGTTGTCTCAGTACCTGTAATATGTGCAATAACAATAAAGTTTAATCTAATCTTGAGCAGGAACAAATGTATTTACTTAGTACATATCTGACATTAACGATTAAACACATGTGTGCATTCTTTATAAATGCAAACCGAGTCAAGCCGACTCCGGAGGTGGCGGTATGCACCTTAAAGTTGTTTGCAATCCGCCAAAAAACGGAGAGAAGAAGAAGAAGAAGACGAAGCCGACTCCGAGCTGTCCGACTTCAGGCGAGCTTTTTGAGACCTCCCCCGGCTGCGATCGGCTATTCTCGTCTACTTTCGAGGCGAGCCGCAACGCGTCTCAAACAAGCCTAGTGCGAGTCTCCACAGGAGCAACACTTGACATCACAGCAGTTGTTTTTCATCAGGATTAATGGGCACATGCAGCGGTGGTCGAAAACAGAATTATACTAATGACATCTCATCCTCTCTGGACTAAGAGGACGATCTGTAAACAGCCATATCATTGTTCTGTACTGTAATGTTGACGCCCGACAACATACATGTGTTTCCATTCGCAGAAATCAGACCATGATCATAATTTAAAACGCTTCCTACACCAGAAAACAAATCACCAGTTCACCCGTCATTTATCATCATGTTTTATTTGCTTTGCAAACAATTCTTGGCTGATTGCAGGTACCAGTATTTTGGTGAAGACATCTTACTTTTTTCCACAGCACACTATAAACATTGTATGATTTAAAAATGTGAATACTGAAGAATTGCAACATTAATTACAAATGATACATATTAACATAACCACCCTCCAGAAAATACATGTAGAAGGACAAACATGTTAGACACGATAACACAACAGAAGTAACATTTACATGTTCCTTTTTGTAATAAACATCAAAAGAAAACACTTATTTAAAATCCCTTTTTGGATTGTTATTATGGTTTAAGTGTTAAATATAAAACATCTTTGGAGATTTGAGGATCTGCAGGGTGTCAGAGAAGTGTTGCATACTTTGTAGGCAAACTTGCACAAAAACATCCCATAGCTATCATAGCGCTCAGATGCATTGACCCGCAGATTCAGCTGTTTGTTGAATAACTGCACCTCAGATCTTTAAATTGCTTCACATCAGATCTTAACACTTGGAGTAATTCCTCTTCATGACAACAGTAAACACAGGGATGATCAGATGACTCATAAGCTTGTGACCCCCCGGGGGCATCGCAGCACAGCAGGATGTAATCCTTTGTTCTGAGATCAGTTCAACACACAAACAAAGATGAACTGGGCCAATCCACCAGGAGCTGAAGTACCAGCACAGTGTCATGTTGTTGTACACACGGACAGGGCGAGGACCCTTTACACCCACTGGGGACTTTAGTGACAAACAGATACATCGATGGTTGCTCAACATGACACTGGCATGTCAATGTCCCACTGAACACGCTGCTTCCTGTTCTCATGAAATGTGTTGTTATGAAGAGCCACTCGTCATGTAGTACAAGTCTCCATGGTTTCTGCAGCATGAAAACTCACATGAAGAAATATGTAGTTTGTATTCATGCTTACTGACAGCTAGAATCTGCTGGAAGTAAGTACACATATTGTTTGGCTAGGCCTGATTGTTATAAAGTAAAAACATATGTATTTTAAAAACATGTAAAGTATTAATACCACAATTGTGCATAAAAGAAGAAGTTCGGCCCCTGCACACCACTGCATGTAACTACAATGTGTTACGAAATGCATATTTACTCTCAATCTCTAAGGAGAAGCACATAGGACCAACAAATCATGACACGTTTGTTAACTACCATAAATACATATGATGATCAAAAGTAATTGATAATAATACAAATGTCATTCGGTTGAATGGAGAATAACAAACAAATCAAAGGCCAATAATTGTAATCTAGAGTTCAGTCGCAGCATGAATATGCTGACGGTGCTGATGTCATTTCTTTATTGAATTCCACAGACTTACAAATATAGAAAATAGTAAATACTGCAGAATAATACTGAACGATAGACTTCCCATCCTGCATCAAACTCCGCCCCCCCAAAAAGTGTTGCATTTCTGAAAGCAGTGTGTTTTGTTGGTTTTAACAATTACATATTCCTTCATACGACTAGGTTTTATCATTAATCTTATCTCCCTGTTAAGCAACAAAAGTGTGAACTACTGTAACTGTCTTTCCATAACCTGAAGTATGTGGGACCAAATATTTGAACAACTGGATGATGTTAGGACCGTGACATCTGGAAACCAGGCAGACACTGTGGTTTGTTTTGTCAATAGCTGATAGAAAGTCACTATTAGCGACCTGATTACAAACTGCACGTAACGATATACACAAGAGAAAAAGACGTGTTCACAAATCTCCAAACAACCAATACAGACCCACATGAGTCCGGTCAGTAACATGAAAACAAGAAAAATGTTTACATGTATCAAATGGATTTTAAAAAGCACATAAGCATCTGATGAGTTCCTCTAAAGAAAAGTGAAAACAAGCTAGAGTGGGATTCATCTTTAGTGGTGCTTGCATAATGTACCCACCACCAAAGCCATCGTGGGGGTAGAGTTAATGTCAGACTAGCAGAAGCACTAAACACAAGCACTGAAAACACGTTGATGATGTTTGACTTCAGTGATAAGAGCTGATAAGTATGTACATGTAGCTTGTATGATATCCTCTATTGTTTTATGTTGTTTTATGTTTCATGTGGAACCTAATTGCTGCAGGTCTCCCTTGAAAAAGACATCTATGATCTCAATGGGACAATCTGGATAAATAAAGGTTTGAAATGAAAGAGAGATGGACTTTTTATGAATCCCTCGTGGGGAAATTGTTTCTCTGCATTTGACCCATCCTGTGTTAGGAGCAGTGTGCTGCCATTTTTAACGGCGCCCGGGGAGCAGTGTAGGGAACGGTGCCGTGCTCAGGGACACCTCGGTAGCACTTGGTTTTGCCCGGACTTGAACTGGTGACCTTCCAGTTGCCAAGCCAAGTCCCTATCGACTTCCCCACCACCGCCCAAAGAGCAGAGCGTGCAGGGCCTTTCTGTTTTCCTGGTTCTTGCTTTGATAATGGAAACTACACGCATACTGCAGTGTGTATTGTTTGATAATAGTTTAAACACAACAGAGAAGCTATAATTAGGTACTTAAACTCGCAGTTACAATTATAGTGCTCTGTGTCAGTCCCCAAACAACATTTGGAAATGTTCCTCTAAGAGCTATTTTGACAGAGATTTTAAATTGAACTACGTGCTAAGTGCTGATGGAACAAGAACCTCTATGAGGACACTGTTGATCCTCAGTAGGAGTAGTTCAATAAATGTTTTTGAAACACAAAGAAAATAAAAATTAACAATACACTAATCTACAAAAAAAACTAAACAAATGTGAACAGTGCTCGCATGCATAACTGTGCATGTTGGGCGTGGTCTCTTCATGTGCTGTGAAGACCTCGATGTCCACAGAGTTTGATTGCACAATCTCTGGCTTTACTAATGTTGTACTGTAACACATTCTTAGTTTAGAAAAAATAAACTTAAGATAGAAATCAAATTAAAAAACGTTGATAGAAGTTAGATAGGTTTGTGCTAAAATGCTCATGTAACATGTATCTGGATTGTGAATTAATGAATAAACTAAGAGTACAATGGGATCACACATCAGGTGGTTTGAATGAGGTCATCAATGGGCAACGTTGTGCAGAGAATGCAAGGCCTTTAAAGGTAAGGGCATGCCAAGGATTGACATCTAATCTCACTTAGTCATTGCATCACCACAATCATAGGCGCTGCTTTACTCCACAGTAATCTGTAGACGAAGGACGTGTTATTAAAAACCAGGCAGAAGAATAACTAAAACATCTCACAGTCCACTCAACAAGTTAGTTTGGTCATTTCTGTTTCTGCTGTCACTGTTATTCATGTCATCATCATGTTCCCATGTCTCTGTTAAAGTCTCTGCACTTCCCCATGTGCTGCTCCGTTCCTCAGAGCCTTTGCATAAGCCGGGTCCACACCCAGACTCCATTCAAATGTGTACATTTCTGCACCCACAGGAGGACAGATGTCGTTTAAAAAAGGGATGTAAAATAAGTACTGATGGGGTATTTGTAAAAACCAACAAGAAAAGCACAAAAAGTGCTTCTTTAAAGGCTAACTGGCAGGCGACAATCAGCCCTCGCACATTAAAGACACCTTCATCACCAACCGTCTCCACTTGGTCTCATACTATACTGTCATTGGCAGACTTCTTCATCAGTTTGGTAGAGAGCAGGGAATGCTGGGAAGAGTTTGACCCCTTGGCCTCAGGAAGGAGAAGACGTACTTTCTGATTGGTTCTTCTCCACTCAGAGTACAGCTGACAGTGGTAGCGGAAAGACACCTGTGAAGTCAGAAAAGACGGCAACAGAAGGTCCATTTTCAGTTTGAGCTTGATATTAGCATTATTAATTGTAATAATAGGTCCTTAATATTACATTTAAGATCTGATCTGTATGTGAATTAATTTCTTACCAGGGTCCACAGCACATATATGGTAAAGAGTGCGATGGTGAGGGCTATGAGGCCGACGGACTGCAGCCAGCTCCCCAGCTGGAGATGGTCCTGAGCGCCCCTCAGACACAGCCAGCCTGAAATGGCTGCTAGGGGCGTGATAAACAGGAAGCACACCATGTCACAGAACAGCGTCCTCTTCTCATTACGGGGGCCGGGGTCTCGCAGCCACTGTGGAATAGGAAGTGGAAAGAAAAATAGAGAAGAGGGAAACAATAGATAAGAGAGAACGAGAGGGGAGGTGAGGGAGAGATGGATAGATGGGCGGAAGTCAATCATGAATGAAAGAATAACACTACAATAACACTTTTATAACAAGCAAGCAAGCCAAAAGATGAGAAAAATAGCAACGTCTCCTTCAGTACGTAGAATAAAGAAAAGAAGAAAGATTGATGCAGACGAGGCAAAGAGCATTGACCTTTGTTACCTCTGTGAGAGGCCTGGGCCGGCGCTCGATGGTGAACTCCGTGTGGCAGAGCTCGCAGTAGCTGGTGTTGGACGATGAGAGCCACTTCTCCAGGCAGCTCTTGTGCACCGTGCCCAGAGTGCCTGTGCAGTCGCACGGAGACAGCAGAGGCTCACCACACGCTCCTTCGTGGCAAATACGGCAGATGGGACCATCACTGAGACTAAAGACAATACATACAAAAATGAACTTTTAGCCAAATGCAGTGAGAATACTATAAGTGTGACACCAGGGACCTGAAACACAGGTATATTTATGATTCCAATCAGATGATTCTATTATTTTCAAGGCCTGTTAAATAGTCTTCTTTGTTTAGGAAGGTTCCTAACTGAGTGAAATGACCCACGATAAGAGCTGCATTTCAAAATGCTAAGGAAAGGTGCTTCAGTGTGTACTTTCTGATCCCCTTTAGCACAGGGTACACTGCACCATCCTTACTTTAAAGGGAACATACAAAACACCATCCCACATTCCTTGTTTCTTCCATGATTGTCTTTTCCTAAGCCCTAAAGAATTCTCCATCACATATTTCCTAACATCATGTGGTTTTCCAAGGAGAAGTGGTTAAGAAAAGACATAGGAATTTGTTTTAATATTCAACCACAGCCCTTGTACTGCGCATGCTGGCACACTTCAAGAGTTATAACACTAATGGAGCACTTAAAAAGAACAGAGCTAATGGTGTTTGTAGCATCTGTTCTTTCCCTACAATGACAATGTCACCTCTGTGATGCGTTTGCCTTGTCCTGCAGATATCTGTGTGTAAACACACCAAGCACTTCTTTCCTGATAACATGAGTGTGTGTGAGTCTCACCTTTGTGTGCTCATGGGTTTGAGCACAGAGGACAGCAGCCGCCCATCCATGGCTGTGACCTGGGTGATGTAGAGCGTCTGGCACGCGTCTCCCCCTCCTTCATCCACGCTCTTACATAGGCCGGTGCTGCTCGAACAGTCACACAGAGAGCCAGGCAGGTGGCAACACCCGCCTGTCGTCATGGTTACAGCAGCCAGACACAGGCCGCAGAGTCTGAGGTGAGGGTGTCGAGGATCAGAGGAGAAGGCTGGTTTGGGGATCAGGAAGCACAAACTCTGCTCTCCGCAGGCTGGGAAGGGTTCGTTTCTACAAATTGAGAATAAGAGAGTCAGATTGAGAAGAAGGTTTTAATTTAAATGGACTTGAGAAATTTCCTTAAACTTCAAAGTTGTATGTTGTACTTATTTCTATACATTTATTTCATACATTTAGTTACTACATCATGTAGTATTTTTAGCTCGGGGGAACCAGTCCACTATGACTTTTTGATGACATTTGTATCTAATATGACATTTCTATATTTGTTATGATGAATACTTTTTAATGACATGATAACCTTTGACTTTTATGGCAAACTACACAAACTATGATATTTAACCATGACTTTTATTTTGTAATGTCTTATTTTCTATGACATAACACAGTATACTATGTAGGGCTGAACGATATACCGTGTCATGGCGATAACCGCGGTATGCGCATGCGCGGTATTCACACCGCAGGGACGTGCGGTTTTATTCATTTTTTTTAAAATGCTAACGCACTTTAGCACAGAATTCAAAATAAAGATACCCTTATTACTTATTAAAACTGCACATACAATATATCCGATTAAAGCTGAGACTCCACAGATTATTTAAGTATAGTATCTAAGCGATCCGATCTCGCGACAGGGGAAGCAAACACAGACATCACAACACGTACCTTTTACGGAGCTTTTACGGGAGATCGTCTCACCGTAGCTGTCAATCTGATCAAAAGACGTGTTCAATGGCATTACAACGAGAAAGAAAAAACGCGGCTGAATCGGTTGATCCATAGGTTGATAATGTATCTGTGGCTTTGAAGCAATTGTTTATAATCCATAATTCAATTTGTATGTAAAAATCGGAGCACAAAAGTTAGCTGCTAATGGTAGCCACCTTGGTGGTATGCAGCTTCCGGTTTTGGCTACGCGTCGTCACTCTCACTCCTTATTGTTCATGTGTTGGTGTGTGTAGAACTTCCCCTGATATTTGACCTTTTTAGACAGATTTAGCACAAAAAAACCCTCTTCTGGGGCCATTTGGGTGGATTTTCCATATCTCTGGCCCACCTTGCTGGATTTTGACATGTGACATCAGTCCTTATTTGGTCATGTGTGTGTGAGACTTCCGCATTGCAAAGACCGGAAGTAGCAGCCATTCTGGTGGCTACCATTAGCAGCTAACTTTTGCTCTGCGATATTTACATAAAAATGGAATTATGGATTATAAATTAAATCTTTTTTTTATACAGAGACGTTAAAAACCTATGGATTAACCGATTCAGCCGCGTTTTTTCTTTCTCGTTTTAATGCCATTGAACACGTATTTTGATCAGATTGACAGCTACGGTGAGACATCTCCCCTAGAAGCTACGTAAAGGTACGTGTTGTGATGTCTGTGTTTGCTTCCCCTGTCCGAGTTCAGATCACTCAGTGATGATACTATATACCTAAATAATCTGTGGAACCTCAGCTTTAATCGGATATCTTGTAAATGCAGCTACGATAAGTAATAATAAGGGTACTTTTATCTTGAGTTCTGTGCCAAAGTGCGTTAGCATTTTTCGCTCAGGGGTAATTTAGATGCTTCTTATGAGACTTGTGTTTTGTTTTGGTATAAAATGGTTTGTATCGTCAATTAGCTGAGATTATTTCCACATTAATAGGTTCTTAAATATTACGATCCCCTGAGACACAGTGTCGTGAAAAAAAAGTAAAGTACCGGCCGGTACTTTGGGGTTTAACAGGTCAAAAAACCGCAATATATACCGCAGGGGGGGGAAAAATCGCGATGTCATTTTTTTTCAATACCGTGCAGCCCTAATACTATGGCTTTTGTGCTCTTTCTATAATATTCTATACTAAGCCATTTTCAAAGACGCCTTTCTATAACACACTACAGTATTATAATTATTTGTATGAAATGTTTACAACACTAGGATGTTATAAGACGTCTAATATATTATACTAATATACTAATATTATACTAATAAAGGACTGGATTACCTAAAGCCAGTTGAGTAGCACTTGAAATGTTTGGCTCTATGAAACCTGATATACTTATATGATTCTGTTTTCTTCAAGGTTGTGTCTTCCTGGTCGAATGTACTTATTGTAAGTCGCTTTGGATAAAAGCGTCAGCTAAATGCAATGTAATGTAATGTAATGTAATATGTTGTACTTGTTTATGATTTTTATATATATTAGACATACTTTATTATGGTTTATATAAGGCCATTTATATTACCTACTGTGCTGTGTCATTCCCTATTACATTAATATGGCATTTTTCCACGTACTTTAATAACTTCCTGCCATGTAAAGATAAGATATGAAATTGTGTAATTTACAAGAAAGCTATCAGTTTGGGAGGTGGACCACTTTGCCCAAAGCAGCTGGTATTCTGTTGTAAAGCAAGTGTGTTGGTCAGAGACAGTGAGTATGATGTGCAGCTCACTGATAAACAGCTGCCTCCCCGCAGATAACCCCTCACCAAAGATAGGAGCCAGACTGCTGCATTTCCTACAGTACATTCGTCCTGCTGATCATCATCCTGTGCAGTAACAGGCCAGTAATAAATGAATATTTCAGTGTCAAATGTTTCATGTTGGAGCAAAATTGTATATAGTTATAAGATATTACATTAAACAATTTATTGTAAAAAGCAAAACAAATGAATTGTCAAACCGAAAGTTATGTCTGACACGTATGTTGATTTTGCACTTTTGAGATGTCTCATTATATAAGAGTTGAGCTTTACTACATATAACAGTCTAACTTGAGCACACACACCCCCATCTTATATAAGACACAAGAAAGTGGACACATGTTGATCCTTCATATCAGACTATTTGGGTGATACTGGGTCACTGTTGTTCCTCGAAAGCTGTACACACATCTCTATTAAACCATAGCATTAAACCCAAACATACATCATACATATATAATCCTATGTACTCATCACCGGTGTTGTGATGTTCTTAAACTAGAGGTTTAACACAGCAGATGGTGCAGAAATTATTGTTGGGGATTTTGTCTTTATTCTATCTTCTTATAAATAAGAAATACAACAACTTGCACTCTACAATCATTTTAGCTTAACACTGATCTAATTAAATTCACAAAAACACAACCTGCGATAAGTATTATACGTGTTTATGGAGAAAAAAAATCGAGCCTAACCCTAACCCCTTATCATTAATACTTAAAATGTTACAATCAACTAGAATAATCTTGTTTCCCCTATGGTAGTGTGTGTGTGTGTGTGTGTGTGTGTGTGTGTGTGTGTGTGTGTGTGTGTGTGTGTATTTTTTAAGTCAAATATTCAGCCCTTTAAACTGTATATGTTGCATTTGCTGTATGCAAATATATTATTTAGCTCACACTTGGATAGTTAAACCCAAAATGTAAACAGCCAGGAAACAGATGTTTGATGAAACTAGAATGTCAATGTTCCTCTTTACAAAGCAATTGCAACAATTTCAGTATTACTGCTTTGCGTTATGCATCAGTATGCATACTGATACAGCATGGGGGGAACGATTAAAGGAACAATCCGTGACCCAGAAAAACAGATAGGTGGCCTCCAAAAGTAAGACAACAACAAATATTTTAAGGTTTGGAAGTGATGTACTTTATGTAAAAACAGGGATAAAACAGACCAATGTATTTTCAATTAAGAAAAATAATTAATCATGTTAATTGGAAGCCAAACCCTTCAATTACACATTTGAAGTTGACTGTTACAAGACGTACATTTTAAATGACTCGTGGCCATTCATTAATAAAGTAGTACAGAAACGATATTCTGCCATGATACTATTATTAGAATTGAAGTAGTTGTCACTGTTTCACAACTAGCTACCACCCAGGCTCCCTCACACAATGGTAATTTTATGAAAAATAAGATCATGAAAATGAAACGAGTCATAGAATACAAAAGTTGAAATAAGGGATAACCTTACACAAATAAAATCAAGTAATAAAATGGAAATGTAGTAAATGAATGCCTGTGTTGTCAGAAAAAGAATCTGGTGCAAAAGGGCAACATTTGCACACCAAATTAAATATATGTACCCCAAAAAACTAAATAAAACCCAAGGGTGAAATATAACTATATGAATGTGTTTGTCTTTTAAATCTTGAACACTTTTCTGTTTGCCAATGCTTTTTATTAATCTATGTATATCTTACACTGCACTGTAACTTTTGTTCTTGTATTTTATACCTGTATTATTATATATTAGTTTGTTTTATGTTTATTGTATTCTCTTTGCTGCTTTTAAAAAGGGAATTTTATAATGTGTTTCTTTAATGCTTGTCATTTTTGTAAAGCACTTTGAAATGCCTACTGTTAAGTGGTGCTTTGACAATAAACCTGCCTTGCCTTGTGTTTGTGTAAATGTCTCAACCATAGGTCTCAATTATATTATTATTGGTTCTTATTATACATCCATGGTCTCAACCATAGACATAAGAACAAAAATAACCATACATTTCCCTGTGAAAACACATTTAATTGTATACCTTGGTTAGCTTATATGCAATATAATTTTAAAAATGAAATATAGGTATATGGAAAAAGGGGTGAACAGTTGTAAAACAGTGGTTCAAACGATATAAAGCGATCAAGTGATGAGATCAAGCAACCATTACCATTAACATCAAAGTCAATACAATAATATATTGACGTGGCGGCATACATTAGCTGTGTATAGCTATTTTGCAGTAACATATTTAACACATAAGCACCAATTATACAAGTTATTGCAAAAAATCAATAACAATTTACCCTGCAAACCGTTAACCATTGGTGTCCGTTACAGCTGTGTTGTTAGCTAGCTGCCAGCTGTCAATAGCTACCTACTAGCCGTCAGTCTGGTATACAAATAAAAGCTTTAAATGTCTACTCACTCTGTGTCTTCTTCTTAAAAATGTCTTCCTACGGCAGGTATTACCGCCATAATATCCTCGTGTTTCCTTCTTGTTTCATTATTTAGTTTTGAGTGTGAAATAACAGATGAGAACGCTAGCTAATGCTATGCTATATTCAGCGTTGTGCTAGCTAGCAGCCGTCCTCAGCTGATAACAAACAGCAGGCCAGGCTTCCGCTTTCCCGGAGCTTTAAATATTCTCCAGAGGCTCATCATCAGCGGCCCGCCTGTGATGCGCTGCAGACGGCCAGACGAGAGCAAAACACAACCAGATCAAGTGGTATTGTGTGAATAACAACAGCTTGACAAAGGGAGGGGCGCTCACAGAAAACATCTCATGCGTGCAGAAGAAATAAACAGAACTGACAGTACAAAGGAACATGAAATATTCAATACATTGAATTTAGTATTAAAGGCATAAGCCAAACAAGAAATTCGTCAAATCAATCACTTTTTAAAATGCATTTTTTCTAAGCTAAGCAGGAAACATTAAACAAATTGGGTGAGAATGGAGATTATTTGACAACTCAACTGATTCATTTTTACAAAACTGGAAGCCAAGAATATACTATTTTCATACGAAACATTTCTAATAAAAAAGGCCAAATTCTCCATAGTTTAAACTTTTCAGGATTATATTAAGAAATTCATTTGTATCTATCCAATAAAATAGTTTTGCCAAATAGGCCTACTCGTTTTTTTTTGAGAAAATGTTTTTTGTCATCATTTTATTTTAGGCTACTCTATTTTTTGTACAATTTAACAACGACCCCATGTCCTGCTACCATGTTTATGTTTAATGAATGATCCTTTTGAGTCATGGCTTCTATGTTATGCTCATTTACATTGTAATGCCTACACGTTCTGTTTTGAAGTACTTAGTGTTGATTTTTTAATAATGGAGATTTTAAAATAGCCTTTCTAGATTAGATGCTGTAAACCTACGATTTCATCTTGTGTATAAGAACGGGCGGATTAAAATGGAAGCCTGTTCTATGGACTTGATGCAGCTAGAGCCTGTATCCTCATTGTACAAACATTTCCTCCGTCAGGACAACCACCGTTCAGTTAACACCTACATTGCACAACAACAGGAGTGGACAAAGTATTACGTTACGGGTACACAGAGTGAGTAATGTATCCAAACAATTCTGTTTCCTATACAGTCATGTGGGTAAGGTTTATTTATACTTCAGTTTATTCAAAAGAAGCATAACAAGTTTATGTTGGCTCCCTTTACATATTTGAAAGAACTGTGAAATATTGCAAGACATAATCAAATCAATCACACACAAAAGCATTTCTCCAATCTGAGGGAATAAATGGTAGTTAGGTTACCTTTGAAACAATTTGCATTTCAGTTTAACTTTCCAACGAGCTGGAGTGTTACGTGAATAGCATTTCTAATTGGTTAGTTCCCCATTTAAATGTTTCCAGATTTCACACATTTCCTTTTAACAGGTATCACTTTCAAATGAAAGCAAAGGGTGATAACAAATGAGAGAAACATTCAGTTAAATCAACATTGTTTCTTTGACAGCCAACAGGAAATGTTCCTCAACAAAGATTTTAAGTGTATGTTTAAAATTGATGGGACTTTGTTACACTGAAATGATTTGACATAAGTGCAAAAGAGATTTTCTTTCAGCTCCAAAATTACAACTTGTATATTTTACTCATCCGTCGTCTGCCAACTTCTTACCAACAAATGCATTTTCAGTCAAACCTTATCATTTAATACACTTAGTAGCAGACCTGCGCAAGCGTCGGACTGTAAATGTGAAAGTATTTGATATACAAATTATACTTTTGGAGGTGGAGTATTCCTTAAAAAAAAGAAAAGATTGTTCGACCTCAACAAACTCAATAAAGGAACACACAGATTTATCCAGGCTGATACTAATACACAAATAATAAAAATTACACACCACAATTGTTAACATTATTTTTGCTGTATAGCATTACACATTGTTTTGCAAATAGCCTGGATTGGTTTGCCAAATACAGCAATGAAATGCAACCTCAGCAGCCTTGAAAACGCTTAGATGAGAAAACCCAAAACTGACAACGATTGCATCAGACTCCTTTGGTATCTTTGTGCACTAAGATTGAAACACACACACAGAAATAAAAACCCTTCATTTGTTTCACACTTGCCCATCAGAAGCCAGACAGTCACAGCCAGTCTGGTCCCTGGCTCGTGTTAATTTCATGCCACAGTAGGCACAGTGCTCAAAGAGGAACATTAAAAATGATAGATGCAAATAGAAAATCCAAACAGAGCAGAGAACACATCAATACTCCAGAGGTAGCTTCTTCCCAGCTCTTCCTCTACACCCGTATTGCATGATAGGCAGAATCAGGTCAACCTGACATGAAATTGGGATTCCACTGAAGCGGATCATGACAGCAAATCTATCATTGCAAGCTGAGAAAAGGAGGCAGGTAGAAACCACTTTAAGCACTGAGGGCTACTGATCCCTCACTATTCCTTCAACAAGAACGGGTCAAAGGGACCATAAAGTCTAGTTAGTTAAAAAGAAATTGTAGTTTACTACAGCTTTAAGATCAACCCCAAATGAGCTTTACTCGCTCTCTCTCTCTCCAGGCCATATCATGAGGCTGTGAATTATTGTAGACAGATTCGTCTGTGATCAGAGGAAGAAAAACAAACAAAGAAATCAGAAAAAAGGAATGTCAAATACAAGAGTCTTGGTGTCGCAGACTTTTGAACCCAAAGGTGGAGCATGATGACAGCAGTATGACAACTGAAGTAAACCAGAAGTGAAGAGAGGAAAGACCGACAGGAAGTCGAACAAGAAAAGAAAATAGGAGTGTCACAGGCTTTGGCAGCAAGCGAGTTTGTTGCCCTTCTGCCCGTCTGAGGTTGGGGGGAGACTTATGTCCACTACATTGTTTCCTGGAGATTCGTCATTTCCAGATCTGTCCGATATTTGCTTCTGAGATACAATACGGTAGATTTCTGAGAGAGAAAAACAGTGACCATTCAGTAAAAGTTTGCGTAACACTACCAGGATATTAACAGTGAGCTGGTTGTAATATTATACCCTTAATGACTCCTACCTGTGAGAATGTTCTTAAAGGCTTCTTCTACATTAGTGGAGTCCAAGGCGGAGGTTTCAATAAATGAGATGCTGTTCTTTTCTGAACAGAAAAGGAGAGAAAATATTCTTAACACATTGAAAGACATTCAAATGTACAGAAAGCTTGGATAATAACCTGCATACATTTCAAATAACCTGAATATTTGTTTAAAAAAAACAAAACACCATGGAATTCTACTTAAAGTAAACTAGTGCAGAACCCAAATGCTTGATCTATGGCATTGCTGCTTGCAATTTTCTCAGAACCGCCAATCCAAACAATTTCATCCTGAACCAAAAGTAATCTGCAGTCGGTGAGCCGAGAATCAATGAGTCAATTTACCTGCAAAGGCTCGAGCTTCATCAGTGGGCACGGCCCTGAGGTGACGGAGGTCGCTCTTGTTTCCAACCTGCATGATGACGATGTTGTTGTCAGCGTGGTCCCTCAGCTCCTTCAGCCAGCGCTCAATGTTCTCGTACGTCAGATGCTTGGCGATGTCATAAACCAGGAGTGCTCCGACTGCACCCCGGTAGTATCTGGTGACAGAATAAACCTGATTATTACCATGTCTATACCATCTATATTCCAGTGCAGTAGTCGCACATATAGACTTTAATTTACACAGAGAAAGTACTCACGCTGATGTGATAGCTCTGTAGCGTTCCTGTCCAGCTGTGTCCCAGATCTGAGCCTTTATCGTCTTGCCGTCCACCTGGATGCTGCGGGTGGCGAACTCCACCCCAATGGTGCTCTTGCTCTCCAGGTTGAACTCATTTCTTGTGAAACGGGACAGCAGGTTACTCTTCCCCACTCCAGAGTCTCCGATTAGAACGACTAGAAACACAATGCACAAAAACATTAAAACAGCAGCCCTGGGTGCGGTCATGCTAGGGGTTAGGATACTTTTTTGCACTAACATAGAGTGCATATTTAGTCATTTAGAAATCACATTAAAATAGTTTTTAGTTCCCTTCCTATTGTGACCATTATTATGGTTGACTATTATAAATGGCCTTGGATGTCACTTCCTATCCAGCTCCTTTATTTCCCTATAGTCAGACTTTACAACCACCCTGGTAGATCACCACACATACAACAACACGACTATAACACCTCTGTTGTGCAATATATATATATATATATATATCTTCATAATCATATTACTGGCTGCTGACTCCTCGTTATACAATTCAACGACTGTAATCAATCTGTAAGTAACTGTGCAATATATACTTTCACTGTTACTACTGTTACATGACTGCTATCACACTACTAATGTTAAACCTAGTATTATTATTTCTTAAAATGCTGTTACTGGTAGTTTTTGTTTTCCACCTGGATGTGTATTTTTGTAACTTGTAATTACAAATATTTCTAACTAATATTTCATGTATGCCTCTTAATGAGTGTTTGGCCATTTACTTTAGCTGTTAAAATATACATTTCCCCTCTGTGGGGTGAATAAAGGTATTCTGTATTTCAAGCAACGTTGCTGGACTATGTTAGCTAGTTAGCTAAGTAGTCTTAGCCTAAACACAAGATGGCTCGTAAAGTGGGAAAATTATAAAAATAAAGCTACTTTCTTTGACAACATATGGTGGCTGTAAAATAGCTTGCACTTATTTTAAAACTGAATTTCGTATCATGTGATGGTTTTACTGAGTCCTCGTCGCTAAGTTACCATGTTAGCAATCGAGCTAACATTAGCTTACTTGCTTAAACGTTAGCTTGCTAGGTCTCTGGCGTTAGCTGCCATCACCGGATTCTCTAATTGGTTTTCGAGTTAACGGTCTACATAAATTAAAGACGACGTTTTAGCTTTACACATCGATAGGTTAACTTAACATTGTGATTAAATTGGTTACTAATGTAATCGATTGCCTCTTGGTTACTAGTGAAGCTAACTTTAGCACTGGCTTAGATCACTTCCTCAGTTCGTGCTGCTGTCATCGTACTCACAAAGAAGAGTAACACGCTGTCATTCATTCACCATTAAAGAAGAAATTACCTTTGAACAAGTAGTCGTATTCATCATCACGGGTTCCCATGTTGTAAAACCAGTTTTTGTACTTTTAAAGTACTTTATTCCCAACAAACAACAACAATCTTCCCAACCGGCAGCTAGTAGGCACCACCTTCAAGGAAGAGCCCAAGCACGTGAGGACAGGAACGTCCTTTTTGACCAATGGAAACTGTTGTCACATTCACTGACACACTCATCAACCAATCATCACGGAGAGCTGTGAGCAAGGCCTGGCTCGAAACGACTACGCCCTGCGCTTTCCTGTAGATTAAGCAACATCTTCTTTTTATAGGATTGAGGGGTATAAACCGTAACAACATATTACCCAATTTCAAGAAAAAGTTCTGGTACGACAAATTATAAGGCCCGAATGAGACGATAGACAAAACACTATACATCCATAGGATATCATATAAAAAGACAGGTTATTAACGAAGTAATGCATTACTGGCTATTTGCATACCACTATCACCTAATTCTTCCTCAGTGGACACAGTAGATTGTCAGGTCTGCTCACTTTTGAGGGTTATAGCCTATAGGGCTCCGACTTAGACTTTTTATGAGGCAATTATTTTTTCAGCATTCTTGAAATGACAGGGAAAGCTAGATTTGATATTACTCCAATGGTATGCTGGTTGTCAGTGGAAAAGCAGAGCCTCTACTGGTAGGAATGGACAGTTGGTCTCTGGTTGTGCTAGAGTAGACTAGATAAAAGTAATGTTAATGCTTCAGTGACCACA